TAAATAATAGAACCGGTAGACTTACATATAAGGGATATCTTTCTTTTTGTCATGCCATTTTGCATAGGTTTGTTCCAATAATGTTGGCTATAAGATAAGAAATACTTTTGTTTTTGTACATTTTTACTGTAGTCTATATATTATCTATACAATGTTGCAATGCTTATGTACTCTATGCTATTGTAAATCACAGGCTTAATTGACAGAAACCTTTTGTAGCACATCGTGAAAAAAAACAACCCTGTCTCTACTGTATTTATAGATGTACGCTTCACATTCTATTAGACCAAGACATTACAGTACTATTCATTATAGCTGTGCACCCAGTGATGAGTGCCGAGTGCCTTTAGCATCCCGATTCCGTGACCCAAAAGGGAATTTACCGGATATACGGTATAGAATCTAGGTGAGGTCATGAAAACGCAAGCGAATCTTTCAAAGCAGAGATAAGCGTGTTTTGACAATTGCTTATTATTTCTGAAGTATTTTTTTTCTTTTCTGCTGCTTTTGGGAAATGGTGGTTCATTTTGGGTTAAAAATAAATAAGCATTTTTTTTTGAACGCAATGTTTCAATTTCATTCGCTTCAGGCTTTACCTACCTTTGCACTCGTTACGAAAATACGAATGTTCTCGTCTACATAATTTCACTTTATTTTGCTGTTTTGGAGAAATGATGGTTCATTTGCATAAAAATCATAAGTTTTTTCTCTCTCCTTCTGAAACCTGATGTTTTAAAAGATATTTTTTTTTGGTTTACCTGGTTTCACTGGCTGTTACACTTGTTTTCTAATGTTCTAAAAACGGCATTTAATGTTCACATCTTGTGATTGTCTCTGTAACTCTCTGGTGTGATCAATATAACATGTGTGTCTTAAACTCGTTTTATAGATGCACCTTTAACCCCTTGGTATGTGTAGGCCTACCTCCGTGGATGTTCAGGTTTATAGGATCATTTTTAAGACGGAGTGAACAGCCTTTTCCAATATGTAATTCAGTTGTAGGCTTAGTGAAATTTTATAAAGATTATCAGGTTTTAATTTTTTTTTAACTATCAGAACAGTGTATTCTTTATGGGTAAGACAAGTAGATTGTGTATAAAATGGCTCTTCAGGTTGACTGATTGTAAAGATTATACAGCAGCCCAATATCACAATATTGCTCTTGTATTTAAGATAGATTAGATTGTTACTGTAAATGTTGCTGGTGTTGTTGATTTTCATACATTTTTTTTTATAAAGAACCAGTAAAGTTTTTCCCAGACTCGTTGTTCTTATTTTTTGGCCGATTTCAGGCTCTCAACGTTCTTACTTTGTTCTTATATTTATACACTTTTTATAAAAAAAAATATTATAGCACAGCAACACTGTATTATACAGGGTACGGTACTACATAGTCACACCTACTGCAAATACGGTACAGTATTAATATTTTAAAAAAATTAATAAAATCTCATTTGACATTTTACTTTGTATAGCGTTAAACTTCAGTTTTCTAGAAGCAAAGTAAAGGCTCTTCATAGAGAATACTATGTCAATAATTGAAAACGTTTTTTTTTTTTTTATTGCAAACAAACCCTGTTTTTTTTTTTTTTTTTAATGAGCAATTCAATTTTTATTTTCTTTTTAAAATTGATTTTGGTTGGCATTAAAGACATATAATTATATATTAATATACTATTTATATATCGTAATATATTGAGCCCCACTTTAATATATTATAATATTAATATATAGTATATAATATAATATCGTAAAGTGGAGTTGAAGTGGAACTGAATAGTTTGGTGGTTAAGATGCTTGCCTTCCAACCAATCCCAGGGTACTGGCTTCAATTCCTGTCAGACGTGTCGCAATATTTTTTTTTCTTTACCACCAAATCAACTGCACTCCATAACCCTGTACAGTATTGATATAAATTTAGTTCGTGTGAAGCATCGTGTGGATGAATAAATAAAAAAAAGTAGATAAAAATAAATGTAATACGTATTCAAAATTATGATAACGATGGAAAGAAACACGTCAGAACATTTTTATCTGTATGAATGTATATTGATCTTTAATGAGCCAAACTTGGTGGTTAGGTATGAAATTCCATCCTACCAACAATATATAGGATTATAACCTCCACACACGAATATTTGTTGTTAATGCATCAGAAAGCATTGAATGCGTGCGCGTCGTCGAGCTTAACCCGTCAGCATTAAGTCTTCATTTCAACGCAAATGAACGCTTCCTATAAAGTCAAGGTGATGACATGCGTCGCGGACTACATTTACATCTGCATAAAAATAAACTGTATGACTGCATGTCAGGTAGATTAGAATACCGCTTGATAGCGCTCGCCTGTTCCAGTCAAGTACATTTTTTTCTTTGGCATTGACTGATGGAATGATTGACGGATTGACGGTTCTCATTACTCAATTAAGTACGCAATGATTAAGCTTTATTTGTGTGTGTGTGCGAAACGTCAAATGTTACTTTCAAAATACCTGACCATATTTCCCACTCTATACAGTAACCCATTAAACGTTTTATTTCAATCATTTAACAGATCTAGGCCTATATAATGCTATTCCAGTGGCGTAACTAAGAGGCATGAGGCTCCTGAGGGCCCTAGAGTGATTTTAAGGGCTGGGGCCGCGATAGAGCTTAAGTGGGGTGTGGAGGGGGAACATGTCGTGTCCTTCGTTTGGACCGACTTAAGTGCGTTTTTTTAATTAGGCCTATTTTTCTCACGTTCTGTTCATTAAGGGTAATCTGATTTTAACCAGTAAGTGTGTTTTCTTAGGCGTTTATGTTATCAATATTAATATATGACTAATCATACAAGTTGAATGGCAATACTCGTGTTGTGCGTATTTCTCTATATTTTTTATGTAGATGTTTATTCATTTATGATGTATTTTATGAATCATATTTCGGTGTAGACCCAGTCCTATGGTATTTTTTTGTAGATGCGCAAGGACCTTGGAAACAATTTTACTATATCGAACTTGAACTTGAACTTGAACTTAAAACTTTCCTTTAATACTGTCTAAACTTTAATAATTACTGCAGTAGGAAAGCCACTGGAAAAATCGTGTCGAATTTCGGCTAGGAGAGGGCGCCCTATTTTTCGAAATTATTTCAAATTAGTCAAATTTGATTGTGTTTGAAGAAACGTTAATTCATCTAATAACTTACTTAACAAAACAAACATAATAGTGAAATATGTTTAAAAGTAGTTGAACAATATAGTGAAATATTTTTGGTGTATTTTGACCCGAACTATAAAGTGTAATTTAACGGACATTTCGTGCTAGACCATTTTTACGATTTTGTACCCTAGTAAATCGTTAAATTGAAACCCAAAAAAAATTTGATCATTAACGCATTTGAAATCCCTGCTGTAAAAATATATAATCTATAATTTCAAATATTAAGATAAAAAATCGAGTAGCTGGGACGCAAATCCGACTCTGGGAACTAAAAGTACCTCCATTTCGTTGGGCTCGAATACTAGCGTGTACGCCATTTTGTAAACGATCGGCGATCGTACTCGAAGATCGTATTTATACCGAACATTTCAAAGAAAATGTGTTCAACAAATAATTAGTGTGTATGGAATAAACATGTACAGTTAAAATAAATATTATTACATATCTAACCTTTCCAGTCAGTAATTTATCGACAATATTATTGTTTGTCTCTACTACGAATCGTATGCGAGGCTGAGGCCTAGGATGTGCACATTGGGGGGCCTAGCATTTTCGCGTACCCGTAAACAGGCAGCGACGATTATGCACATTTACAAACGGCTCCAATCCTTCTGAATTCGTTATTCTCGCTATATGGCAAGTGTACATGAACTAATTACTAACATTCTTCACTATATCCCATCATGCCACGCAATATTTACGTTTCTAACCACGCTTCACGCACTTGTACTGTACTCCCTGCGCAAATACTTCAGTTTATTGGTGACCTGTGTCACCGTCAGCTTTCCCCTAAATTTTTTTTTGATCTTTGCATTTATTTCTTTGTAAATACCGCTGTTTCGGCGGGTGCCGTCCAGTTGTCTTTGTATTCTGTCTCCCCCCACAATGAGAGAAGGTAACGTATCATAGGTTCGGTCCACACATGTTGAAATGATGAAGATGATGCTATAACATTAACAATAAGTCAGCGTATGCATTTGTTTTTGCAAAACTGGACAGGCCTATGGTTTTCGCGCGTGTTGAATTGAATTCATGTTGACCGCCAGACGGTAGAGTCATTAAAACATGATTAATGGTCGCGATAATGGCCTTTGACAGCGATACACGGT